AGAAGGTGCTTGTTGGATTATTGTTTGGATAGAGTCAGAAATAGTGTTGGTTCAGTCTAAAAAAACATTTGTTTGAATGAACTAAATCGCATCACTATTACAAGCTGATTCTTTACTTTCTCAGTTTAATTAAAATCAGCATGAAGAATAGGAGTAGTGTAACTCACACTGTTACTCCAAGTTAATGTCAAAGGTTAGCCTTTAAATACCTCCTACAAACTGTATAGAGAAATACTGCAAAGAAGTAATTCTCTCAGTAGGAAATTACACTTACTGACATAAACTGGTACTGTAGGAATCAATGAGTGATTTGTACAGGGCTGTGATAGCAACTGTTTACCCACTCACTAACCCCCTGTACGAATCAGTTTGTGATTCGCTCATGCTGTGACTGAGTTAACATTCCCTGCTGGACCTGCCTGCAACTGAAAGTCATGAGTGATTTGTGCTGTTGATTCCCTCACTGGACTTGTGTATAAATGAGACATATTTGCTCACGTTGTCAGTCGGTGTTTTGGCATTAATGAATTATGCCATCCTTTATAGTATGAGAATCACATTGATGTCCCTTTCACACTTACAACTTTACCCAGTAATTTTGTGGTAATTTACTTGTTCAGGGTTATGTGTGAATAAAGCCAGAACTGATTTACCAGGTAAAACACACCGGGCAATTTACTGTGTCAAGACCTAGGTTGTGTCCAAATGTCTGCCCTAACCCCTCAAACACTACAGGTGCTGGTCATAAAATTAGAATATCATGAAAAAGTAGATTGATTTCAGTAATTCCATTTAAAAAGTGAAACTTGTATATTATATTCATACATTACATACAAACTCATATATTTCAGATGTTTATTTTGTTTAATTTTGATGATTACAAATGACAACAAATGAAAATCTCAAATTCATAATATCAGAAAATTAGAATATTACTGAAGACCAATAAAAACAAAGGATTTATAGAAATGTTGGCCAACTGAAAAGTATGAACATGAAAAGTATGAGCATGTACAGCACTCAGTATTTAGTTGGGCCTCCTTTGGCCTGTATTACTGCAGCAATGCGGCGTGGCATGGAGTCGATCAGTCTGTGGCACTGCTCAGGTGTTATGATAGCCCAGGTTGCTCTAATAGTGGCTTTTAGCTCTTCTGAATTGTTGGGTCTGGTGTATTGCATCTTCTTCTTCACAATACCCCATAGATTTTCTATGGGGTTAAGGTCAGGAGAGTTTGCTGGCCAATTAAGAACAGGGATACCATGGTCCTTCAACCAGGTACTGGTAGCTTTGGCACTGTGTGCAGGTGCCAAGTCCTGTTGGAAAATGAAATCTGCATCTCCAAAAAGTTGGTCAGCTGCAGGAAGCATGAAGTGCTCTAAAACTTCCTGGTATGTGGCTGCGTTGACCCTGGACCTCAGAAAACACAATGGACCAACACCAGCAGATGACATGGCACCCCAAACCATCACTGACTGTGGAAACGTTACACTGGACTTCAAGCAACGTGGATGAAGTGCCTCTCTTCTTTTCCTCCAGACTCTGGGACCTTGATTTCCAAAGGAAATGCAAAATTTACTTTCATCAGAGAACATGACTTTGGACCACTCACCAGCAGTCCAGTCCTGTTTCTCTTTAGCCCAGGAAAGACGCTTCTGACGCTGTCTGTGGTTCAAGAGTGGCTTGACACAAGGAATGCGACAGCAGAAACCCATGTCTTTCATACGTCTGTGTGTGGTGGTTCTTGAAGCACTCACTCCAGCTACAGTCCACTCTTTGTGAATCTCCCCCACATTTTTGAATGGGTTTTGTTTCACAATCCTCTCCAGGGTGCGGTTATCTCTCTTGCTTGTACACTTTTTTCGACCACATCTTTTCCTTCCCTTCGCCTCTCTATTAATGTGCTTGGACACTGAGCTCTGTGAACAGCCAGCCTCTTTAGCGATGACCTTTTGTGTCTTGCCCTCCTTGTGCAAGGTGTCGATGGTCGTCTTTTGGACAACTGTCAAGTCAGCAGTCTTCCCCATGATTGTGTAGCCTATAGAACTAGACTGAAAGACCATTTAAAGGCTTTTGCAGGTGGTTTGAGTTAATTAGCTGATTAGAGTGTGGCACCAGGGGCCATCAATTTTGAACCTTTTCACAATATTCTAATTTTCTGATATGATGAATTTGAGATTTTCATTTGTTGTCATTTGTAATCATCAAAATTAAACAAAATAAACATCTGAAATAAATGAGTTTGTATGTAATGTATGAATATAATATACAAGTTTCACTTTTTAAATGGAATTACTGAAATCAATCTACTTTTTCATGATATTCTAATTTTATGACCAGCACCTGTATATAAAGCAGGGACTATATAGTGGACTTTATAGTGCACTTAATTAACTGACCATTTTGAAAGGTGACCACTACTTTTCACTCTTTGTCGGTCACGTCAACCTGGCTACTTGCATGGTGTCCCCAAATGGTAAATGGTAAATGGCATGTACTTATATAGCGCCTTTATCCAAGTTAGGAGACTTGACCAAAGCCCTTTACACTACATTCGTTCACCCATTCACGCACGCACTCACACACTGATGGTGGCAAGTTACATTGTAGCCACAGCTGTCCTGGGGCTCACTGACAGAAGCGGGGCTGCCGTACACTGGCACCACCGGACCCTCTGACCACCATCAGTAGACAACGTAGGTGAAGTGTCTTGCCCAAGGACACAACGACACTGAAAGTTGGACTCGGGGCTTGAACCGTCAATCCTTCGATTTCAGGGCAAACTCCTACATCCAACGCCACTGTCGCCCAAAACAAATCCCATAATGCTTTCCAATGAGAGCTCTAACAAAGCATTCTGGGATATATCTGGCTATCTATTGACCATACATGTACATTACTTTTCAAGGTGCATTATGGAAAATATTTAGTCCATTACTTTTTTATCCACTAGACTTTCAAACTCTCAGAAAAAAAAAAAAGAGTATTTCGGGCGCAAATTCTGACACAGCCCTAATATTACATTGACACACCAGGACTGTGTGTGAAAAAGCTGACGTGTTACCTAGCAAAAGTCCTGTCTCCTGCTACATGTAAACTTCTTCAACAACAGCACCACTGATGAATGGGCTGGCAAAATTTTATCCAGTGTTTCATCAAGCAAGATGGAAATCTTTTAACTATAGCTGGAAACTGGTTGGACCTGTAAAAAAAATGACTTTCTGTCCCTGCAGAGCGACAAATGATATACCAGCTCTCAGAAACCAACCACGATTCTGTTACAGTATATATAACAAGATAACCTTTGCCATTTGGGACCACGTATTACACAGGGCAAACATTTGTTATCAGTTAACTTGAAGGTCTGTGGAGGAAGTACTGTAAATTAAAGTAGAGACACATAATGAAAGTAATAGTGACATAACGTCAGCCGTTTCCAGAATTGGAAGCCAACTTCAGCTTCTTGCTTTGTGCTGATTAGTTTTTTATCATTATGATAGTTTTATGCTTTGTACATATGTTTCAAAACAGGTTGGAATTTGCGGTGTTTTTATTGAGGTAAGGCCACGGTCAGTATTGGGTTGTTAAAAAAAAGGGGGGGGAAAGTGGAATTTCTTTTTTTGGAAGCATACATAGCCTAATTAATATAGTCTATTAACCTAAAGCACGATGCATGTTATGGTTGTTACATGTCAGGTATGCCTGTCATTGACCTTGACCAAGGCAGCTTACAGTAGAACTACAGTCAGTCCCTGGACTGGCATGGCTATCACTGCCCCTACATAGTTAGGGACAAATGCAGAGGACAAATTTTCCTCTGGGATCAGCTTCATAGTCATGGTAGGCCACTTCTTTGATTTTACTTTGAAAAAATCTTGCGGCAATGAATCCATTAAGATTTGGAACCAAACCTCACAAAACATTGCAAATGAATATTTGAATCCTTTCAAGTCAAGTATTTTTTCATTGAAATTTTCAAAATCTGAAAAAAACCTGCTTACAAATTCAAATACATTCAAATTAGCCTAAAAATGAAATAAACCTATATTAAATCTAATAATTTTACTCACCTTTCAAATATTAATTTAGAGTATTTATTTCATAAAATAGTATTGATTTTATAAAACAGACCTTTTAGTGGCTAATTTAAAGTAAGCTAGGCTATATGTTGGCAATGAATAAGTTAAAACTATTCTCACAGGTCCGTGGAACTAAGCTATTTACCATTGATCAGACGACAGGCATTCGTGGGACCTTGCAGTCAGATCTCAACATTCAATTCATTTATGACCATTGGCCAGACATTTACATCACATTTGTCAGTTCTTTCAGATAATAATCTTAACATGTGTCTTAAATTGCTTAATTAAAATGCATTTTTTAAATCTTCAATTCTCTCCTACGGGTTTCCTCCTATGCTCTCAGCCACAGCTCCACTTGTCTCATCAAAATCTTCTGGATTCTGGCTGTCACCTAGCAAAACAGCAACGGTCTACAGATTAATGTTATGTTTGATTCACCACCAAAATGCAGATTTTGAATGTTCAGCAATGCCTGTACACTCTAGACTAATTCTCGTGTGTCATGCCAATTTTAAAGACAGAAAACTGTTTGCTAAGTTTAACAGGTTTACCTAGTTTTGCATGCTATCAATATGTCCAGAGATTAGGACTTCAACATATTTGGTGACACAATGGTAAGCTTATAAAAGGTAATGTCTTCTGACTCTTGACTTATCTGAAGCATTAGTTTTTGCTTTTTTTTAAACTAAACCCGCTTGGCCGTGATGCAGTTGGTTGCGCCACTGATGTCAAAAATGAAAATGCATGTGCCCTGTGGACCACCATAATTTGCTCAGGCTACTCATAAGCGCCAGAGATGGGAAGTAACGAAGTACAAATACTTTGTTACTGTACTCAAGTAGATTTTTCTGATATTTTTACTTTACTTTACTACTTATTTTTATGGCGACTTTTTACTTCTACTCCTTACATTTTTACACAAATATCTGTACTTTCTACTCCTTACATTTTAAAAAATTGGCTCGTTACTTTAGTTTTGAATCATTTCAATGGAGTTACCATTATTATTTTTCACGTCATCAATACCAAATTCAGTCTAATTGGATGGGAATCTACGTTGCATTTGACGCACCACTACAAGATGAATCGACAGATTCGGCGGTATTCATTCGCGGCAAATCATTGCAGCTTGGTGGCGGTGGCGTTAGCATAGTAGCATGGACGACGAGATGATTGAAAATGAACACAACGTATATCTAGTCCTATTGGCAGACATCCATTTAAAATGTAGGCAACGGCATGAAAAAAGTGGTTTCTACTTTTACTTTTATACTTTAAGTAAATTTACAAGCCTGTACTTTGTTACTTTTACTTGAGTAAAGAAGTTTAATCAGTACTTCCACTTTTACCAGAGTATTTTTCAACACAAGTATCTGTACTTTTACTCAAGTACTGAAAGTGAGTACTTTTGTCATCTCTGATAAGCGCACAGCCTGCCAGATGTTTAACGGGCAATATTTTTGCCATTACTGTTAATTTATAATACAATTTTACACATCCAGTGATAAAATGTTTCAGTGAATGATATGGGGGGATGGTCATTTAAGAAGGAGGATGATTTTTAAGATTTTTTTAAGAAGGGGGATGCCATCACCCCCTCATCCCACCATCAACTCGAGTACTGGCCAGTCTTATTGCCTTTTATGAATATAAAGTAGCAAAATGTATTTTAAGCTCTATAAATATCACACTATGTATCTAAAGCATGCTAATTACCCAATTTATAATAAAACCAAAACTATGGTTGCAGGAACTGAATGATTTGGTGAAAAATAATTTAAAATTCCTAAATTTGGATTTCCTGGAAATTCTTTTTTTCTAATTTTGTCTCTCATAGTTTAAGTACACCTATGATGAAATATTACAGACCTCTCTCATCTTTCTAAGTAGAACTTGCACAATCAGTAACTGACTAAATACTTTTTGCCCCATTGTAACTTCAAATCAGCAAATATACCTGGAAATGTTGAAAATAGCTAAAAATATAGTCTATTGATATTTTCATACATGTTTTGAAAAATTATACTTAATATTCAAACAGTTATCTGGAAAGTTTTGCCTTTCTATTGAAATAACTGACGGTTAAACTGCCTTTTGTGTGTTGTTTGATGAAGACAATAGTACATTCTGTGGAAGCGCTTATTTCCATCTGTCTACTGAGAAGCAGGGCCTGGGGCAACTGAAAAAGGAACAATATTTTTGGCTCTATATCTTCAGCTGAAAGATGTTTCGTGTTGTATTCTTGTTCTTGGAAAAGGAGCATATAAAACATAAAGAAAAAAAAAACATTTTACTACAAGTAAAGAGGATTCTTATTCAAAAACTTTGAAATGAAATGTAAAATTTTCTTCGTGTTCCATAAGGGATTCCTGAATAAAAACAGGCAATATTCGTTTAAAACAGTGCTTCCTACTGAGGAGTGTTTGACACTGCTCTTGCCTGTGCATGGTGAAGGTCACTGCATTGATTTCAAATAAAGTTTTATGTGGAGAAGATTTCAATCTTAATGATGCACTTTTGTTAGCTTACAAACAAGACAGGCCTACTGGCACAAGAAGTTAAGGCAAATTGAATCAAATTGTGGAAGATTTTAGATAGCATAAAGCATTTTAAAACAATCATTTTAAAAAATGACTGCTTTATTAAATATTAAATAGATCATATTTTACAAAGATAATCTGATGAATGTAACAGAAACGAGCAGCAGCATCAGTGGCCATACATATTTCTCCTTCGCTATAAATGTACCAAGCCAAAATAGAAATGACATGTTCATGATTGCACAGGAGTACTAGTTTGGAACCCTTCCTACCCAGATGGCCAAACGCTTGATGTTCTTGTCACGTTCATCTACGTTTTCTCTGCCTTGAATGGGCTGTGTACACAACCATTGTTTGAAGAGTAAAATTGAAGGCAAGCCTTGTAAACTGTGGATGCCCCCCTTACCAAAGAGATGGGACTGCTAAGACAATGTGTGCAGACATCTCGTTTGCTCTTTCAAGACTTAATGCTACTTAGCTTGAGGCTTGAAAGAGAAGAAAATGTTTTATTATGTGCAGGGAAATCTGTCAACGTTTTTGAACGACAAATTAAGACTTAAGAGAGTAAAGCAACACATTTTTTTAACATTTACTAGCTGAAAGCCATAATTTTACAATAAAAAATCTAAAATTATAGTTTTCATTGTTTGAGAAGACACTAATGAAGTGCAAAAAATAAAAAAATAAACAACCAACTGAATCCTGACAGCCTTCAGGCTTACGGACGTCATTATGGGACAAACAAGCACATTGATGATGCTTGTCAAATTAGCCTTCCTAAAAAGAACAACAAAGGACATAGTCATGTAATTAACACATGAGTAATGGCTCTCCATTATAAAATACAAAACATATGAAGGAATGTACATTAGCATGTATTAAGCAGAATGCAGTGAAATAATAATGTATTTTTGTTAAACCATATGATGTGGGCTATAGAGGGATGATAAGCATAATCCTTCCTCTTTTTATTTTCCTCTTTACTGCCAATAAAGAAGGAAACAAGATATTGAAAAGATGACATGATTAATGTCCAAATTAAGTCTACATTAGGTTAAAAATTGAAAGGTGAAAAACTGTAATTTTTAGATTGTTGAAAAGATGTGGAAATCTGGGTTTGCAACGTGTTTTCACTACTGGCCTAAAGTAGGATAAAACAGCCCAATTTTCAATAACTAATTCTAATTCGTCATAGATTCGTAGAGCGTAGCCGCGTGTGGCCTGGGCTGCCTGTCAAAACTCCAGTCCGGCGCACGGATGACGTCATACAAACTCCGCTTTGTTTTTAAATATATAAATATAAAAAATATGACCGTGGATGTCTGGGGACAGTGATTCGCCTACATGTTATGAATGCTGGCATACCATAAAGAATAAATTATGAACAGTTTAGTTTGTGCCTAAAAAAGAAAAAAGTTAAAAGTAAGTTTAATAAGCTAAATTATAAAAGTAAAAACTATAAGTGCCTTTATCGACATTAAAGGAGAAGTTCGGTTTTTTACACTTTAAGCCCATTTTCTGTAGTGTCCAGGATGAAATCGAATGATCAACACCAAAAGTTTGACAATTGCTCCTGTCTCTGCTTTTTGGCTCATTTAGAATCAACCCCTTGCTGCTTTAGAATGGCTTTCATAGAGCATGTCCGATAATGTCCTTAAAACAACCTTAAACGTTCTTTTTTTAAAATATGCTACTCACCGTGTCGTCAGCGCTGTTCAATGACGTTCCAAAAAAAGTTTCGTGAAGAAAAAACGTTCCTGTAGTGTTTTATTTAGCATTTTGTAAATCCCATTGAATTCTGTAGGAATAGTCAATAGTCCGCTGCCACCGGAAACGGAAATGGAGCCTGTTTACACAGTTGTAGTCTTTTCGCTTCACTCTGTGTACTCCGACGTCGAGAATCAAGAATCCACCTTTCTTATTCCATTTTCAGAGTTTTTTAAAGTGTTTAACAGAGACGTTAGCACCTCGACGTCGGAGTACACAGAGTGAAACGAAAAGACTACAACTTTGTAAACAGGCCCCATTTCCGTTTCCGGTGGCAGCGGAATATTGACTATTCCTACAGAACTCAATGGGATTTACAAAATGCTAAATAAAACACTACAGGAACGTTTTTTCTTTACGAAACTTTTTTTGGAACGTCATTGAACAGCGCTGACGACCCGGTGAGTAGCATATTTAAAAAAAAGAACGTTTAAGGTTGTTTTAAGGACATTATCGGACATGCTCTATGCAAGCCATTCTAAAGCAGCCAGGGGGGGATTCTGCATGAGCCAAATAGCAGAGACAGGACCAATTGTCAAACTTTTGGTGTCGATCATTCGATTTCATCCTGGACACTACAGAAAATGGGCTTAAAGTGTAAAAAACCGAACTTCTCCTTTAATACCTTGTGAGTGGTGTGAGTGTTTATCATGAATTTCTTAGAGGCAATTTTGCTTAATATTTTTAGGGCAGGTGGCTGTTTCCTGTTATTACATTAACATTAATTTTTGCCATTAAAATATACATATTTTTAGAGTGTTGCAAAGGTAATAAGGTCTTGTCCTTTCCTCAAATAAAACTCTTGGCTTGACATTTAGATTTTTAAAGTTTTTTAATAAGTGCCCTCTAAAGGGTTAATGAAACTTAAGCAGGCCTAGACAACTATCCTGTACTATCATAATAATACCCATCAGTATTTTAAACAAATAATATATAGGCTTTTACCTATATATTAGGGGTGGGTAAAATAATCAAAGAATCGATGCATCACAATTCTTCCATGCAAAATTCTTATTTGATTCGGGAGCCCCTCAGAATTGATTCACCTCCTGAACAGCAGACCAGCAGAAGGCCAAATTTGAGGTTATAATTTTGGGTTCATTTCTGTTTCCTGTTGAAATCGGGAACTCAAGAAATTGACAAAAGCAATATAGTTTGTAAGCTGTGCTAGACAGAATAAAAGTTCTGGAGTAACACAACAAACCTGAGCAACCACTTAATCAGATATCATGAAGAGGTGCTACAAAAAAAACGAAGCACAACCTGTAGACTCTGATCAGACACAAATTGATAAATCATTTATCTCTAAACTGCCGCCAAATTCTGCTCAAGCACAAAAAATCACCAAATCTGTAGCTGTGTTCATTTGCAAGGAACTACAACCATACAGCGTGGTTGAAACTGAATGGTTTCAAGAACATGTTCAAGACACTCGAACCATGCTATGCAATACCAGTGCATAAACACATGCTAGAAGTATTAGACCGTAGTACGCAGAGGTGAAGACGGCTGTGTTTGAGTCGCTAAAGGCTGCTGAAAGAGTCGCTCAAATGTTTGATGGCTGGACTTCGAGATTGACTGACCCCTACATAACCATCACTTCTCATTTCCTATCAAATGAGTGGGGATTAGTTTCAAATGTGCTTCAGACCAGGGA